AACCGGGGAAAGAGGAACACCTAAATAACGAATAGGGAAGACCCCAGGCCGAAAAGATAAACTGTCACGAATACATCTCTGGTCCTCCATTGACACATTCCCGAAGAACACCTCACTCTTATCCAGGCTAGGTGATAGGCCTGAACGTTCTTCAAACAACTGTAAACTCCGTTTTATAACCTCCATCGACATAATGTCCCCTTTAGAAAAGATAAACAGGTCATCAGCAAAGCACAAATGCGTCAATTTAATATCYGCACAACCTTGATGATACGAAAAGTGAGCCACTTCCTCAATACATTTAGAAAGAAGCATCGATAGACCCTCCATGACAATAGTAAACAGATACGAGGAGAGAGGATCGCCCTGTCGAAGGCCCCGTTTACCATAAAAAAACCTTCCGGCTGTCCATTTACACAAATGGAATAAGAGGGTGTCGTGATCAGAGTCTTTATCCAATTGAGCATGACTGGGTGAAAGCCCATTCCCTTCAGCATTTCTAATAGAAAATTCCATTCCACTGTGTCATATGCTTTGCGAATATCAATCTTGAAAGCACATCTAGGTTCCCCTTCCGATTTCTGATACCCAGCAACCAGTTCATGAGCCATTAAGATATTATCAGTGATTTGGCGTCCAGGGATGAACGCAGATTGAGCTTTACTAATAAGAACATCCAGCGATCCTTTCATCCTATCAGCAATAATCTTACTAATACACTTCAATAATACATTGCAACAAGCAATAGGCCGAAACTCAGTCACACAAGAGGCATTAGGGACCTTCGGCACAAGACATAAAAGGGTATGATTCAGCTCATACTCCATAGTCCCAGAATAGAAGAAATTATGTATCCCGATCAGCACATCCCGCCCAACCACATTCCAAGCTGACTTAAAAAATTTAGAGGAATAACCATCAGGGCCAGGGGCTTTATCATTCCCAATAGCAAATAAAGCATCCTTTATCTCCAAATCAGAAATGGGACGAATTAAATGAAGAGATTCCGATAATCATAAAGCATGACGAAACACACAATCCCCCATAGAAGAAGCAACCAAACTGGAAGAGGTACCAAGAATCCCTTTAAAGTGAGAAATGAAAGCTGTAGATACTGCCTGGTCCTCATAAAGGACACCAGCCGAGTCCCTGATCATAGCAATATGGTTCCGATTGCGTTTTTCTTTCATAGCATGAAAGAAGAATTTAGAATTACCATCCCCTTCATTTAGCCAAGATATCTTCGCTTTTTGTCGAGCCAAGTCCATCTGATTACTCCTGGCTTCTTGATAAGCTAATAAAAGGTGGGCGATATCCTCCTTTAGCAAATCATTAAACGGGTGAAGATCACAAGCCAATTGGGCAACATCAAGTTCGGTCTTGAGCTGAACAACCCTCTTATCCAAACAACCATACGAATTTCGGAGCCGCCGACAAACCACCTTAAGATCTTTCAGTTTCCGTAAAACCCTCTTCATGTAAGAACCATTCTGATGCTTCGACCAGACCTCCTCTACCGAAGCAAGGAAGTCCGAATGAGAGGTCAAAAAGTTGTCAAACTTAAAGCCACGCTGACGAATACGACGTCCAACACGGAAAGAGAGAACGCCCGGAGAATGATTAGAAATCCCCCTAGGTTCAAAAAAAGTCGAGGCATCCCCAAACCGAGAAAGAAAATTCGAATTGCCCAAAATACGATCAAGTTTTCTYATAACACCCTCTCCCCCCGAAGGTTTCTGGATCCAAGTAAATTGACACCCTTGATACGCAATATCAAATAATTCAGCCTCCTCTAGACACATATGAAACTCTTCCATGTCAGAATTCCTCCTGGAAGAACCCCCCAGCCCATCATGGGGAAAAAGCATTGAATTAAAGTCACCCATAGCAATCCATGCTTTCCCATGACTGAAGGCATGAAATTCCCCAAAAGCCCGCCAAAGCGCACGCCGTTCAGTACCCGTATTACAGCCATAAACAAACGTGAAGAAAATGGGGTCAGATTGACCAAAAATACGAGCTTCACAATGGACATATTGCAATCATCCTTATCTTTAGATCTTCACTGTATGCCTCTAGACGATTTGCTGGAGAATTCACTAAGTGTTGATGACCAGAGGATCGATGAGGATGCTCTTTCCATCGCATCCCAGATTGTCCATCRRTCCTCWGGTTGTACTCCAGACTTAGCCGATACTGCCTTGATGTCTTCATCGGTCTTCTGGTTCTTCATCACTTATTGTTTTTTATTACTTTTTTACATTATGAGTTATGGGGTTTAACAATCTCCCCCTAAGTAATGAAATAACAAACATATGCAAGTCTAAAGACATTTGTGATGAACATAGACTAATCTAATAGAACGACATCAATTTCTGAATTTTCATTGGACGATGAAATTCTTACAAAACTGGAATCAAAATACATCAAGGCAAAAAAAATTTACTCATCACGAGCTACCTGAATATATTTCTGTGAAGCATAGGAGCAGTATTCGATATGCGATAACTGTTGATATCTCGTGAATGAGTCGACTCCCTTCTTCTCTTGGCACATAATGTCTGCCAAGTCTTTCTCGAATGACTTTCTGAAACCATTAAAGTGTATCTGTTGAATACTTGAAGGCCTCAGTCAGCCTGAAGAATTTTTTGATCCCGAACTCATTCTTGTAAACAAGTCCAAGTTCGGGTTGAGTTATAACTGAAGCAGATCGTATCTCCTGCAAGCCTTGGAAGTTATCGTTTGGAGGAGCGCATGAGAGCCTTTTAATGCCTAGCCGAAGAGCTATTTCAAAATCGCTCTTGGCTCTGTGGTTTACTAGGGTTTCCATCATTTTTACCACCGCTCAGTTTGCTATTCCATATCTGATGCCGTGGACTTGCCTCTGAGCCGTATATGCATATAATTCGATCAAGTCATATGGGTTGAGGTTGATGAGGTCGTTCTCGTTGAAGACGCAAACTAACCCACGTGCTCTCTCCATAGTAAACTCGACGTATCGGATGGCTCGGTTGGCAAATGTCTTTATTTTCATATCAATGACCCTCCTTATCCCATCATTTGAAAAGACAGCCTGGGATGCTTGAGTGGATTGTCTAATGAATCTATGGTGTAGGAGGTCCATGGACTCAGGCGATAAGATTGGAGGGCTGATAGTCAAACTGTCATCGCGGTCTTGGTAAAGATATTGATGAATATTTTCTAACAAAATTGGTTCCCTGGGCGGCAAATCGGGAGGTCTCCTCATTGACTCCATGCTCTGTATTATTTCGTCAACCAAGCTCTGAGGAGGTTGCCTTGAGGAAGAGGGAGCATCTGCATGTACCACGGGTTGATGGGTTAAGGGTTGTGTATGGGCTGGTTGGGGTTCATTTGGTTCGGTTTGAGTGGTTTCTGGTGCATGGGATTCGGTAGGAGATTGTGGTTGTTGGGGTGATGAAGGTTGTAGTGTCATTGGTTCAGGTTGCATGGATAAGTTAAATGGTTGAGTGGTGCGTGGTGTTTATGAAGGGGTTAAGGGTAGGTTTGATGTGGGTGTTGAAGGAAGAGGTTGGTTTAGTTGTGTTGGTGGGGTAGTAGATTCTTCATCGGTTGAAAAGCTTAACACGATGGGCTCTTGGGTTTCAACGAAGGGAACTTGTATATTTACATCTTCAAAGGGCAGAGCTTTTGGTTCCCTTGCTTGGGTTCCTTCTGGTGATGGTGGTAGTTGAGGTGATGGTGATAGTGGTGCAGCGGATTCGGTTTGTTGTGCAACCACGGCCTATGTCTCCCCCTCATGAGGTCCAAGACCTTGATCATCGGGGTCTTGGTCGTCATGCCTAGGCCTCTTGTGCGGGCGGCTGCTTGAGCAAGAGGCTCTTGGCCTCTTCTTCTTCTTTTCCTTCCTGAAGGTAGCGAGGTATTCCTTCAGGGCGGTCTGTCGTTGACTCGCCTTCATTGTTTGTAGGAGGGAAGTTGTGTGCCGTTGTTCATTAGCCAGGTTATGGGAGAGAACCATTGTTGGACGAGTGGCCCGATGAACAAATTTTGCACTGATCTCGTTAAAAGATGAGACCAGTGCCCTTGATAAAGCTTGCAAGTCCGCTCGTGTGGCAAACTCGGTCGTGGAGGATGAAGTTGGTAGTGGCATGTTGGAGGTGGATGTGTATGGGGGAATGGGAAGGTTGGTTATTAGGTCTCTTACCTCTACAGTGAAAGTGGAGAAGGCTCCATCGAAGGATGGGCCTGCAGAGGGAGGTGGTGGTTGAGAAGTGGGTTGGGGTATTTGGGCGAGTATAGCGGCGGGTAGTTGGGTGAGGGTGTCTTGGATGGAGGCCATTTGGTGGGTGGGMTTGGCWATGRAATCATCGATAGATGTGGTGGATGATTGTGGTGTTTGGTGATGGACTTGGGGGGGATGGTTGTGGATAGGGAGTGAAGGTTGTGGAGGATGGTTTGAAGTTGGGTGATTATGTAGGTGAGGTTCTCATCAGCCTCAGTTGCCTGGGCTGTGAGGGTGGTGATGGATTGGATGATGACTTGGTTTCGTTGGGTGGCTAGGGAGGAAGTGGTGTTATGGTGTTGGGTGACRGTTTGTTGGAGCATTTGTAAGCGGCTGGTGTTGGTCTGTGTTTGGGTTTCGATTTGGGTGAGATGGTGTTGTGTAATATTCTGGTTGTTATTTCAAGTTTATATATATATGTACGGATATGTATGTATGTGTGTAATATTTATGTTGGAAATTAAAATTTTATTAATTTTAAAATAAAAGGGGGAAGGTCGGCTGGTTATGCCGACCCACCACCTCTCTTCTTTATTTCTAATGTATATATAGAATTTTGGGAAGAAGGAAAGGTACACACACATACTATATTTAGAAAGTTATTCTCTRAAGAATCAAAGGGATTGCACAGGAAGAAGAGGATTTCAAAGGCTTTGATTCTCGATTTCTAAAGGTGAGTGTATTAAGAGCTTTGGATATGAATTGCTTACATACAGTTTGATAAGCATTTGGAACTGGTTATTATGAATTTTGTTGCATTTTATGAGAGTTCTTGTTTAAACCGTCCAAGTGTTGTCCGGATTAATATCYRGATAAATAAACCGCACAAGTATTGTCCGGAGTCTTTCTTAAACCGGATAAGAGTTGACCGGATATTGTTTAAACCGGCCAAGAGGTGACCGGATATCATTTAAACCGGTCAAGAGGTGAAAGGATATTARGTAAACCGTTTAAAAAGGTTTGAATGTTGTATTGACCGGATAGTTTAAACCAGTCAAAGATTGAATTATGTATTGTCCGGTTTATATTAAACCGGTCAACGTTACAAGTGAAGTATTGTCCGGATTTGTAATCCGGACAAAGAAGATAATTTTATTTCAAGTGTTATATTGACCGGACTTGTTATCCGGACAAGAGACTTGTTATCCGGACAAGATTGACCGGATTTCAAGTCTGGATAAAGAGAAGGTTTTTATGAAATATTTTTGAGATGAAATGGCGGTGTAACCGCGAGAGAGATGAAATGGCGGTGTAACCGCGAGAGAGATGAGAGATGTAATGGCGGTGTAACCGCGAGAGAGATGTATTGGAGGTATAACCGCGAGAAACATAAGTATGCTTATGTTTCAGAACAGGTTTGATTCTAAACTGATTGTTTGGAATGTATATTCTTTGTATGAGATTTATACACTCACTAGACTTTTTGGTCTAACGCTCAGTTGTTGGACTAACCTGTTTTGCAGATAAGCATACTTTGCAAGATAAAGGCAAGGGGAAAGTTTAGATAATGATATTATTTGTTTCATATATATGTATTAGAAATACATTTTGTTAGTCCATGTTTTGTAATAATACTATGTTTAGTATTATGAG